ACGTGGGTCCGGCGTCAGCGGCCCACTCTAGAAAGCAGACTAAAGATTTTTTTAAGAAAATTTTTTATATAAATTTTGTATATATTATTAAATAAATAAATATATTTGCATATGGCAAGTGGTCTCTGACCACATAAGATGCATTTTCCTCTCTTCGGGTAGGGTTCAAACCCACCCCATGTAATACTGTTTAAAAAATGTATATATATTTAATATTTTAAATTTTTAATAAATAAAAAATTAATTATTTAAATAATACACAATGTTAAGAAAAAAATTAAATATTAATTTTAATCCCTTAACTTTAAAGTTTTATATAATTTTTATTTTTAAATTTTTTTATGTATTTTTTATCTATTAACTATGAAAAATATATTTTTTAAAGTTTTTTATCATTTAATCCATTAAATTTTTTTAAATATATACATTTTTAGTCAATCAACTTCAAGTTGAGGATTAAAAATATGCATATATTAGGAGTTTAAAATTTAGGATTTTGTGTAAATTTAAATAAACTTAATGAATTAATTAACGAAACGATTAAAAAAATGTATTTCTTTTAGTTAAGGAATTCAAAAAATATAAAAAAATAAAAGATAAAAATTATGTAAAACTTTAAAATTAAGAGATCAAAATTGACATTTAACATATAAAAAAAACTTTTATTAAAATTTAAATAACATTTGGTTAACACCATACAATACTGTCGTCGAAGTAAATGATATTGGATTTTTATATGTTGATCAGTCGATGCAAGGTAGTTTGGTTAGAAACCAACTTCATTGAAAAGTTTTTACTTGTAAAATTGGTTGGGAAAGTACTAAAAAAAAATTAGTGAATTTTTGTAGTTATTGAGATTGTTTACCGAGAATTATACTAGAGGTTGCTTTTTGAGCTTCCAATGTTAAGGGGACAAAAAAATTATTGCTTTATTTAATACTGCATTCATTTATTTTTAATAGTTATAATTTAATTTTTTTTAATTTTTTAAATATAAATTCTAAATAAAAATTTAATAACTTAAGTAAATAATAATTAAAAAGCCTTTTCTATAAAAAGTTTTTTTTGAATATTTTATTTTAAAAAAGTTAATTACTATTTATATAATATATTAAATTTTTAAAAAATTTATGTTTGAAAAGTTAAAAAACCAAATTAATAATACTAAAAATAAACGGGTGGAGTAGTAATTGTGGTGTAAAAACATTAAAAAAATGAAAATAACCCTAAAAAGTTCTAATTAGAAAGAAAATTAAGGGAAAAACTTTCCTCTAATAAAAGTTGAGTTATAACTTTTTTACATTCACATTTTTTAAAATTTGACAGTTGGATTTGTTGATTTAATGTGCGTACTACATGTTAAAAGTAAAGGTACAGAATAAATTTCTTGTTTGGCTATAAATAAAATTATTAGCTCATTAATGAATCTCTACATAAAATTGGTCCATGCATATATTGTTGTCCATGAAACTTGATGGATTCTTAATAAAATCATTTAAAACCATAGCTAATTCTAATAGAATTTAGATTCACAAACTATAAAATTTTAAATTGAAAATAATATGTTTACAATATCACATAATATTGTAAATTTATAAATAATTATAATATGATATTATATTAATTTTTTTATTTACAATTCACTTGTAATATTCTAAGCATCCATTTATTTATTGATACGTCATAATTGTAAACTTATAATTTTACATGATATTGCAATTATATTATTGTTATTATTTTTTTTTTCGGGTTTTTAACTCTTTTAAATTTAACAATTAATATATTAATTTACAAAAAAATATCGTGCAATTTTTACTACATAACATTTGTCATTGAATGTGATGAGCACATGATAATGAGAGCTATCTTCCCATTGACTCATGTTTTGCATTGGCTTTAAGCCATTAAAAATCCCTAAACTTATCGAAAAGGTTAATTAATTGACATATTAATAAACTAAAAATGTACATATTTAAATATATTTAACGGATTAATTAACAAAAAAACTAATTAAAAAAAGTATATTTTTTATAGTTGAGAGACAAAAAAAAATACAAAAAAATTTGAAGAATGAAAATTATGCAAAACTTTAAAGTTGAGAGACCAATATTGATATTTAACCAATATAAAACAATGAAAATAAAAAAATAGAAAACAAAAATAAACTAAACGAAAATGTAGCCCTAACTAAAAAAAAAAAAAAAAAAAACTCTTATTCTATTGTAAACTAACTGTTGTTTTTATTTTTTTAATTAAAGATTTAAAAACAATATTTGTATTTATGTATAATATTTTAAAAAAAGAAATAAGATAAAGAAAGACTTTTTATAATTAGATAATTAATTCAAAACTTTATTTAACATGTGCTCTAAGGATAAAGGTAAAAACTTATTAATTAAAGTATATTTAAATAATTTTGCATCAATTTTCATATCAAATTGTAATTTTTTAGATTTCAAGTACAAATATTATATTCTTTATTATTTTTTATTTTTTATATATTATATTATATTTTAATTAAATCTTATATCAAAATTTATGTATAATTAATTATAAATATTATAATTAATGGGATAAAAATGGTAATAAAGTTCAAATAAAAAAATATTTATCTATTTTAAAAAATAAAAAAGAATTTAAAATAAATTTAAAATATGAAAATGACAATTATTAAAAAAAAAAAAAAGAGCAACGGATAAGTAATAACCTTTTTTATTTTAATTTCAATGCAATTGTGGGGACAGTTTGACTCTATATGGTACTCGCACCCTTCCCCCTCCCCCAACAAGAAAAATGACTTTTCTACGTATATACGCAAGTACTAGAGACGGTACAGTAAAACCCTACACAATACACTTCGTCAATACAAATATACATTTGAATCACTCCCCTTTTATATATATATATAATTTTTTTTTTTTTTCAAACCCCTCTTTTTATAAATTTTAAACGGTAAGAAAATAAATAATAAAATCTGTTGCCCAGCAGCTAAAATTTGCTGAACTCCTGGTTCTCTAATTAAATGTTGTTGAGTAAGTGTAGAATAAAGATCGGACATTTTCTAGAAGTTCCAAAGGAAAGATGAGTGTAATGAAAAAGGAGTCTCTTCCTCACTTTGATCATGTTCTAAATAATTATGATCTAGAGGTTCAGATGGTGGCGGCGGTGGTGGATAGAGTTGGTCGGAGATGTGGTCGAGCCCAGGGTAGAGGTCGTAATCACACACACCTTGGTTACAATCCAAATCGTTCAGAAAAGACCAATCCGTCATTTCCTTGTCCACTTGCATTGCCCCGTCAGATACGGAGGATGATGTTGAGACGCCCTGCTCCACCACCGCATTGCTCGAATTCGACCCGCTCGCTGGCGTCTCCTCGTTGGCAAACCTCGCCGCTGCCTCTTGGATCTCCTGCGGATTCATCGATCGCCCCCCAGGTATTTCAGGCGGATTGTTGGGGAAATTGAAGCTCGCGTTGCGGCCACGTAAGCAAAAGAGTGCCGCATCGAAAGCACGCGCCGCTTTCTCGGCCGAATCGTAGGAGCCTAACCATATCCTTTCCCGGCTGTTGGGCAGCCGGATTTCGGACACCCATTTTCCCCATTTTCGCTTCCTTACCCCCTTGTACTTGGGTTCATCATTCGTCTCGGAACCCTGTTCCGTCAACGTTGAGGAAGAAGATGTCGATGGCTTCATCATTTTTTTAGAATTGTGATGCACTGATCGACCCTCAGTTAAACTTCCGATGGAGCTTCATACAATGAAAATGGCGGCTCTAAAATCACCATATATATAGGGGAAAGTAAGAAGGTCCTTTTTATTTTCCTAGATGGTCTAAGCGCGTTGAAGCGAAGTAAAAGGGCAATCGGACACGTGGCAGCTGATGAGTGGATATTGACATGGTGACGCGGTAGGACCAAAAGAGGAAAAAAGCACGTGCGTGAATTGGGGTTTCAGGAATTTTTGTTTTTTGAATTTTTTAATGGTAGGCTCGGTAAATCCCGAAAGGTTAACGAGTGACACTGACATGTTGCCGCAGCACAGTCTTCTCCATTTACGCGAGGGTGCGTTTGGATGCTAAGCATACCGTTTCTAGGGCTGGGCAAACGTTTTGGTTAACATGCTAAAAAATTAATTAAATAATTGGATATAAATAATTCTTAATTTTTTTAAATTTTTTTAATCAATTAAAATAATTACAGAATTAAAAATTTTTAAAAAAAAAAACTAAAAATAAAATTTTAAATTAATAAAAAAATAACAGTTATTTAAATATTATAAATAAATATAAAAATTATCTTAATTAATTTTATTGTCAAGTTTTATCTTATAAATTTTATTATAATTTAGTATTTGAATTTAAAATATATCTAAATTTTTTTAAAAAAAATTATATTTTACTTTTATTTGTCTATTATTTTTGTATTTTTTAATATTTATATTCTTTAAAAATTTTAAATTTTAACTAAATATATTTATTGTTAAACTTGAAGTAGGCATTCATTATTGATTTAATTATAATCAATAATCAAAATGTCAAAATCAATTATTTTAATCACCAAACTAAATATTCATAAACATTTTTAATTTGATTTTAGTTCCTATAAAACAAAAAAGAAGTTTAAAATTTCATTTCAATTACATCAAAATCAAACGGCGCTCACCCTAACGGTCTCTTCGGACGCGTGGGAGACAGACTTCACGTAACGGCTTCTAGAGTAGATTTAAGAAAGTCAGAAACGGGATGTGGGTCAACCAAATGGATTATTATGTAACTAAGATGATTCAAAGAAGATTCTTGAGTTAAATACTTCAGTGGATTTAATTGCTTGAGCTGATCCATATTGTTTGACTAAACAAAGAAAGTGAAAGTTTAATTCATAAAGAATTTTGGAAAATGGTCTGCCGACCTAGTGATTTAACAGTTTTATATAAATTTTTTTTTACTATGGTAAAGATTTGAATCCTTTCCTCATCTCCTCTCTCGGACTGCTTGCCCTAATAGGAAAAAAAAATTCATAAAGAGTTTTGCTGAGTTGATATTATTAAGTTAAAAAAATTTTCATTTTGGTTCAATATTAGGGATTTTGACATTTATAATGTCAAAGAGTTTATTTAACTTGTGCTTTAAAAAATATAAGTTAAATATATATTAAATATATATTTTTATCATAAATTTATATTAAAAAATAAAAATTAATTTTTAATTTATTAATTATTTAATTAAATTCACGTGAAATTAAAATTAATATCAATTTTTATATTTTTTATATACATTTATTAATAAAAAAAATACTAATGTCAAATAGTTTTAAAGTACCAGAAAATAGTGTTAGTTTAAAATTAGTGTGGGTGAGTTTATTGTCATAACATAAAATATTACTAATGTCACTTTAATATATACATTTTTACTTTTATATTTTTAAAGTACTTAATTTATCTGCTTAATTTTATAAGTAAATTTAATTTTTTTAAATATCATTTAATGTGTTTATTTATATTTTTTTATTATTTAAAAATAATTATAACATATATTTAATACTAGAATAATTATTTAAATAATAATTATAAAGAATAAATAAAAAAAATTATTAATTAATTTTTACATTATTCTACCTATGTTATTAGACCAAAAAAATTAAGTTTATTAGTAAAATTCAACCGACAGCATATGATCAATGAGCTCTTAAAACTATTATTATCACATATCACCTACTCATCATATATAAATAAAATAATAAAAACATATTTAATGTGGCATTAATGATCTATACCATAGCTAATAATGAGATCACCCTATGAGATCTCACCGAGGTCCTATTTAGTTAATTTATTGAAAAACTTTTTACTAAGAAAATAATTTAAAAAAGTGAATGAAATTTGTGATTGTACATTTTTTTATGTTTAATAAAAAATTAATATTTAAAAAATTAGTAAAAATATATCTAATGAGTCACATATTAAAAAAGTTGAGAGGAATGTTTTTCCTTATAAAATTGTGAGAAGGAAAAATTACTTATTAAAATTTTTTGTTTGGGATAATAGAGACTTAAAATGTTAATTTTGTCATTTTTTGTATTTTTATATTAAAGTATAAAAATACAAAAAATAACCTCAAAATTTTCAAAAATCCAACAAACAGAGAAAGTTAGGGACATGCGACCCAAGCATTCCCGAGTATTTATGATAGATTAGTTTATATAATGTCGTTTTCTTTCCTTCTTTCCATTTTTTTTTATGAAACATTGTCGTTCTTTCTAATCGTTGAATTTGTTTTGATTTTTTTACATATATTTAGTAGTAAAAAACTTCATATTTACCAATTTCATGTCCCTGAAAATAGTATCGATTGCAAAAGTTTAAATAATCAAAATTAAAAAGAAAAAAAAACAGGAGAAAGTAGAAAAAACGTTACTAATCCAAGTTCTTGTAATTAATATTACCTTGAGCGATTTTGATCTTGATCCTTATCGAAGTTTAATTAATTGTCAATACATTTCTTCAAATAAGTTGGGATTAACTCAAATTCATATTATTATTTATTAAATGATTTGACTTATTTATAACCCTACTTATAAGATTATGAAGTTCCACAGAAACAAAACTATCTACATGTGACTAATTTCCGATAAGAAGTATTTAATCAAATTTCCTAAATTTGATACAAAATTGACTTTTAATTGGATAAACACCTATAAAGTGTGCAATTAAAATGGCTGAAACAAAAATGGAACCATTTGCCTAACTGGATGAAAGTTGAAACCTAAAATCAAATGATGTGTGCAGTTACGCGCTTGGCAAGTCAGACTTGTAATGATCTGCTCGCTTCCCTGTTGTAATCCCCGCGATTTTGTATGTCCCGGTTAATTTCACCAAGATTGAAAACATGTTAAAAATAGGTAAATTATGCAAATTAGCCCTTCTACTCTACTTCAAGTTGACAATCACCCTTCAACTTTTTTCACTAGCAAATAACTCATTTTAGTTTTCAATTTGAGCAAATTAACCCCTTATTTTGCAAATGATGTCATCTAACATCATCAATTGATCATTTGATGTTACCAATCTATCTTTATACCTTCTAAATCTAAGATATAGATTGGGATTCTCTATTGTTAGTGCTTAAAGTGCAAAATCTACTCACAATTTTATACGTCCTGATTAATTTCATCAAGATTGAAAATATGTTAAAAAATAAGTAAATTATGCAAATTAGCTCTTCTACTCTACTTCAAGTTGATGGTCACCCTTCAACTTTTTTCACTAACAAATAACCCCTTTTAGTTTTGATTTGAGCAAATTAGCCCCTTATTTCGTAAATGATGTCATCTGACATCATCTAACGTCATCAACTCGTCATTTGATGTTATCAATCTATCTTGACCTTCTAAATCTAAGGTATAGGTTGGGATTCTCTACTACGAGGGCTTAAAGTGCAAAATTTACATGTGAATACTCTGTAGTATTTTTTTATTTGGATTTTAAAGTTGATTTAAGCTATAAACTGATACTATCTATCATTCAACAAAAGAAGGGGGGAAAGAAAAAGTGCACAATGCTAAAGTCACATGAGAATAGGAGAAGGGGAGAAAAAAAACTAACAGGACAAGAGATGGCAATAGTCAAGAATCCAAATGAACATGATACATATTAATAACGTTAGATGATAGCATCCATAAAATAAAGGTTAATTGGCCCATATCGACAACTTAAAGGGTTATCTACACATGAAAAAAAGCTAAGGGGATGATTATCAATTTGAAGTGGAATAGATGGTTTGATTTGGATAATTTGCCTTACAAATACTATTGCAAAGTCTGTCTTGAAAGTTCTCAATAGTATTTAAAAGGAAATACTATTATAACGTTTTTCTTGAAAGTTCTCAACACTATTTAAAAAGACAACTTATGCAAATCAACTCATCTACTCCATTTCAAATTGACAATCACTTCTTTAACTTTTTCATGGTTGACAACCCTCTATAATTATCAATATGGGCCAATTAGCACTTATTTCATGGATGATGTCCTTTGAAGTTATCAATTTGTATTATATTAGTTTGGTTTCTTTAACTATTACTAGCTCTGACTATCTCGTTATTATTATTATTCTTGACTAAGAATTTTTTTTCTTTATTTTCTTTCCTTTTCCTTTTCTCATGTGACTTTAGCATTGTGCTCTTCTTCTTCTTTTCCTCTCTTTTTTTTCCCCCCTTTCATGACTTATAGCTTAAATCAATCTTAAAACCAAAGGAAAAAAAAATATTATAGAGTATTCTCATGGCAAATTTTGCACCCCAAGCCCTAGCAATGGGAAATCCCAATTTGTATATTAGATTCAAAGGGTCATGATGGATTGATCGCATTAGATGATGGGTTGATTATGTCAGATGATAGATATTGATGATGTCAATTGTGAAATAAGGGGTTAATTAATTTGCTTGGATTGACAACTAGAGGGGGTTCTTTGCTAGTGAAAAAAGTTAAGGGAGTGATTGTCAACCTATAGTAGAGTAGAGAGGCTGATTTGCATAATTTGCCATTTAGAAATAAGAAAAATGTGAGGTTGGGCTTTTGTAGGAGTAATGTTTTGACTATAATAGAGATCAGAATGAAAAGCTCAAGTCAGGTATTAACATTTTGGGCCTTAACGGATTTCAAGAACAGAACCCAAACAATTTGAATAATTTGGGCCAGACATTATATGCACAACAAAGACATCCAGTTTATCAAACTCCGGACACACTTCGTTTAGCCATTTCCACAAACACTTGGAGATCAAAGCCACAGTTGGTCTTCTTCGTTTCTTAGCTTTCGGTTTTGGACTCTTATTTCAGAAATTGTTTAAGCATCGGCAATGGCGACTCAGGTAGCCAAAACTGCGGCGTTATTGGGTAGAACCCAGAAACTATGCCCGCATTGCCACCACCTGTTTGCGTTTTTGCCTCAGAGAGACAACTGCTGTCAAGAATTGTTGTTTGGGTGGTTACAAATCAGAGCAATGACCACCAGTAAGCGAGTTCAGGATCGAAGCAAGAACAAGAGAGTGCGTGATCTTGAGATTGCTACAGAGAAATGGAAAATAGTCTCCAAGGTGTTGTTTTTGATGGAGGTTTTAAGGAAAGAACCCGAGATGGTGATCTGCGTCAGGTCATTGGAGCAGTACAGGAAGCAAATTAATCTTCCAAAACCACATAGGGTCAGTGATTTTATCAGAAAATCGCCCAAGTTGTTTGAGTTGTATGAGGATCAAAGAGGGCTGTTGTGGTGTGGAATGACCAAGGAAGCTGAGGATTTGTTGGAAGAAGAGGAAAGGTTAATCGAGGAGCGCTCGAGCAAAGCCGCAGAATATGTTACTAGGCTCTTGATGATGTCTGTCGATAAATGTCTTCCGCTGGATAAGATTGTGCATTTTAGGAGGGACTTTGGGTTGCCTGTTGATTTCAGGACGAAGTGGGTGCATCAATATCCTCAATACTTTAGGGTGGTGAAATCTGGTGATGGGGTTGAGTGTTTAGAGCTTGTATCCTGGAATCCAGCTTGGGCTATTACAGAGTTAGAGAAGAAAGCTTTAGGCTTAACTGATGGGAGTGACCATACCCCAGGATTGCTTTCACTGCCTTTTCCCTTGAAGTTCCCTCCTAACTACAAGAAGGTTTATAGATATAGAGGCAAGATTGAACATTTTCAGAAGAGGTCTTATTTGTCTCCATATGCCGATGCAAGGGAACTTAAAGCTGGATCTCTGGAATTTGATAAGAGAGCAGTTGCTGTTATGCATGAGCTACTTAGCTTTACCATTGAGAAGAGATTGGTTACTGATCACCTCACTCATTTTCGACGTGAACTAGTGATGCCACAGAAGCTAATGAGACTTCTTCTAAAGCATTTTGGTATCTTTTATGTTTCTGAAAGGGGAAAGAGATTCAGTGTCTTCTTGACTGAAACTTATCAGGGATCAGAGCTGATAGAAAAGTGCCCTTTGATTCTTTGGAAGGAAAAGATCCAGAGCCTCACTGATTACAGGGGGAAAAAGAAGCCACTTCCAACTTTTAGTGACTTATCAGACATGGAGGATAAGAGTTTCTTTCAGAGTGAATCTGAGGATGAAAATATATCTTCTCAATTTGAGGAAGAGGAGATCATGGGTGGTCTAGAGAATGCCTCAAGTGCAACAGACAATGAAATCCAGATTGCTGAGATTTGCAGTGCGTACAGAGAAAAGGAAAATGGTACATCTTGAAGTTATTAGCTTCCACTTGCAATTAACTTCTCTAGTTATGGCTCATTTTGAAAACATCATCCATTTTGTTCATTTCTTTTCAATAAAAAGGAATTTATGCTGTCTGTTGTGGGAGATTCATTTGGTTTTAAACACTCTGCACTCTTGCTTCCTTTCTTTAAAGGCCCTTACCTTAACAACGATCAGTGAATCAAACTAAGCAGAGAAGTTTATTCCTTGTGGATTATAGAATATAAGTAAGTACCAGAAGAAATGAGTTGACTTAAATATCTAATACTTACCATTGAGCTGTAGATTTTTCCAACCATATTCCTCTCATGAAAGAAACTTTCATGATTGTGGCTAAAATTGATAATAATTGAGTGCAACACGAAATATGCAACGTAAAAAAACTAAAATAGGAGGAAAAATTAAAATTTTGCTCTCTAACATTGTTCTGTTCTTCAATGGCTTCCTTCCTTGCTTCCAACATATTTGCAAGCCTTATTAGATTAATTTAAGGGGTTTCTAAAATATAAGTACCAAAAAAGGAAAAGGAGACTATGAATATTTCGATGAAAAAAAGAGCAAAGATTTGATTAATTAAAATTTTATAATCAATCCTTGTCAAGCAAGCCACTCCCCATCAATTCCTTCAATTTCTCCAATGTCCATGCTGTTGATTCCAACATTACATGAGAAAAAATTCAAAGGAGATATCAAATTTTTTAGTACACACAAGGCAATGGAGGCTTGATGCAAATAAAAGTTCCAAATTGATAACATCTCTGGAAAAATGAAAAAAATTAAATGTTTGGAAAACTTTGGTTGGATGCTTACCAAGGCAAGGCAGGATCTTGGATGTAATCATCAGGGCAATAATCACTGAGATGTTGCTGCAAGCAGCTCTCATTTGCATTCAACCAGGGAGGAAACTCCATGACTTGATCAAATGGCTGGTAGCCATCATGCTCTATCTTCACTTCTGGTCCAACCTCCATGGCCTTCAAGAACTTGAACCACCATGCCGATGTCATTGAATTCATGGTGTTATTCCTCTCTATCTGGTGCTGCTCTCCAATTAATCTGATTTCGGCCATGTCCTCATCATCCATGGCATAATGCAGACCACCTCCACCGTAGGATTCAGTGACATCAGTCATGGCAGTATGCCCCATCTCATGTGGGGTGGCAACTGAAGGAACTTCCTCAGTGGTACTGACAGAGAGACCAGGGGAAGATGATGATGATGATGGAGAGTATGTGCAAGGTGATGATAGGCTGCTGTTGTTGTGGTAAAGTGTGGTTTCTAAGTTAGTGAAGTCTTGAAAATTGAGCTTGAGGCCTAAGGTTTGGCTTGGTAGGGTGAGGTTGAAGGGTTCTGGGGCAGATGGAGGAGGGATTGGAGAAGCAGCCCAGGGGAATGAATTTGAAGGAGGAGCAGGGTAATGAGGAAAAGATGAATAGGTAAAACTATCCTGATAAGAAAATAAGTTTTCAGTGGTTGATGTGTATATTCTGGGATTTCTCCAGGACTTCATCTTGGATTCTTGCTCAAAACATGCAGGAGGTGAAAGATGCAAGGGTTGTGCTTGTTGCTGCTGCTGCGTTTCTTGTTGCTTCTGCCGCTGTTCATTGGCCTGTTTCATGGCGGCTCTGTGGAACTTAAGTGCAGTGACAATTTCTCGTCTAGCCTCAGCCATGTTAAGAAGCCTTTCTTGGTAAGGCCTACTAGTGTGGAGTCTCCTCCTGACCTGCTTCTTGTGCTGTTGAGGTGGCTGAGGTTGTTGGGTTTGTGCTGATTCATTGAACCCTTCACCAAATTTCGTCTTTTGCCCATTAAACTGTTCAGAATCAAAAGAGTCAGGGTCCTTAGGATTCATGGGTCTTTGGCTCTTGAAGAGGTCAGTTGTTACACAAGACTGCGGATACGGGCACAAGAGAGATGAGGCAACTCTTCCTTAATCTTGCCAACTCTCTCAATTTCCATTGCTTCTTTGGTTTGAAGAAGATCGACCCTTCATCTCTCTACCATATACTTCTATGCATATCTGTTTTTTCAACTTAGGAAAGGTGGATTGGGAGAATCATGGTTTTTGCTCTCAAATGTTCTGAAGGACAAAAGTACAAAATGCAGAGGGAGGGGCAGAGGCTGATCTGGATGGTAGACCGGGAGGGCTTATGGGTGTTATAAATACCAGCTGAGGACAGTCTAGGGTTTTTAAATTATTTTGGAAATTTCCCTATTTTGGCAATGTACATTTGTTACCGTTTCATTACCTGCATCAAAGGGGAAGCTAAGGGGCTCTCCATCACTAAAATACCCTTTAATTTCAGCTGCATTTCCCAGTAGTTTCCCTCTCCTCTAAGAAAGCACACCTCCCTCTTCACAATCCTCCACAAATGTGAACACAGAACTTAAATTCTATTGACATGTAACTTATGCGATAAATTAAATGTACTTAAAAACGCACCACAACAAAGAGATCAACAAGAGAAGCATAGGACACTAAGCCATCCCTTTTCTTTCCTTGATTTAGGATAGAAGAGGAAATTCCCAATCTTTCCATTTAAAACAAAACTGTTCTACATGATTTGAGTCTTTCTGTTGATTGAACAAAGAATTTGGACCGTCTTTGTAAAGGCCTTCCACAACATGCTAAAGACAGAAACCCTCCATACCATCTTTTCCCCACTAATAATACCGTATCTATATCCCAGTTGTTGTTGCTGCCATTTTCACTCTTAACCTTTTTACTTCTTAATCAATTAGAGGTGACAGTGCCAGAGGCGGCTTCTGTGGCGTTAAGCAGAGTTTCGGCCAGCAACAACAGTGAAAATGAAACCCAGAGGACAAATTGTTACCTCTTCTGTTAATTTAATAAAGAAATCAACAATTTCTACGACCTAACACTGCAATATATTTTGTATACCTAAATTTGAAGCTGACACTGTTTGATCACAAGCATGAACGCTGGGGTCTATAGAGGGAAACTATACTTGTTAAACAATCCCCACAAATTAGAAACTCTTCTTGAATGTTGATTTGAGACATATATCATTTTCCTAAGCCAAATCTGTCTACTTGGCTATGAGGTAACTAGAACAGGAAACGACTAAGCTATCACCCATACTGATTTAGTTAAATTAAAAAGCTTGATGGCCAATAAAAGACAAAATTAAAAAGCTTCGGATCAATCAGGAAAAGAAAAGAAGGCTTGCAAAGAGATTTGGTTTCAATGATTAATAATTCTTGTTTTTGGCATTTAATGATGATCATATATTTTAACATACAAAATATGAATAGTATGTAAGTCAAAACTGTTTCATCAGTGAAACTTATATTATACTATTCAACAAAACCCTTATCCCCAAATCAGCAGAAAGAGTATAAACCTAGCAGAAGCAAAAATGTGAACATGCATAACCCCTATCCTACTTGCATCTGAACAGTCAGACATTCAGGATAAAATTCAACCATAAATATAAAGACGTGAAATAATGTCATTTAATAAGATGCATGAAAGAGAAAGAGAAGGAGAAGGAGAAAGAGAAGAGGGAAAGACCTGTGCTGTGTGTAGTGGATAAAGATGCAAATGCAAAATGTGACATTGGGGCTTCTGTTTCTGATGAGATCAAAAAAACCAGCTTCCACCAATCCCTCCACGCAGAAGCAGATGTAAAAAGATTAGCTTTCTACGAATCACATTCACACAGCACACCCTTACGCACAATCCCCCATATGCTTCCATCCCCTGTTTCTCTCTCTCCCTTTGGATTCCATTCGCACCACTGCCTGTTAAATTTATTCCTCTGTTTTCTTACTCAGATCCTAACTGAGTAGCTGCTGTGACCCTTCCCCACACAAACCCACCAGCTCTGCTAGTCTCCCTACAGTAATTCTTGGACCCCTTTTAAAGTATAGAGTCAACATTCATCTTTCACCCGCCCTTCTTCACCATTTTGAAGAAAATTTGCAGAATTTACAAGAACCCCATGTAGCTACAGGCTTCTAAATGCAAATCTTTTGCAGGATTTAGGGGAAACCCATTTAACAATCCGATTCAAAATGCAAAATTTCTCTTGGGTTTTTGCTTGAACATTCTAAAACAGTGAAATTGTAGAAAAAGGAAATAAATTTGATTTGGGTAATTGCATGTTGGGTAATGGGAAGTGGGTAGTGGGCAGTGGCGTGGTGGGGGAAGAATAGATGATCAAGTTGGCCAAGAAGGGGTGGGACCTTCTGCAAAGACAGACGGACATGATGTGACGGGTCATAATCGGACGGCTAAGCTCCACGGATGAGGAGGGAACATCACTGACAAGGATGCCATGTGGGCAGATGTTTGAAGATACTATCAGAGGCAGCTTGACACGTGGGATACCCGAAAGGAGACAACAAGTTGGCAGCTGACCACCGTCCCCACCGCCGCAAAAAGCCTGCACCCTCCTCTGCCCCAATTCAATTCCCTTCCCTTCCCTTTCACCCCCCACTCCCCATTTTAATTGAAAGAGCCCATGTTTTGCATCTAATGCTGTACAGACGATTGCAAAACATAGATTTTTTAATAAAAACAGAGTTTAATATTAATATTTTTATATTTAAAAACAACTATTTTATATATAATTTAAATTTTAAAATAGTTCTTTTAATTAAAATTTTACAATAAATAAATTCTCAAAAGGACATTGACCTTTATGCTGGCATGTAAGCTTCTGACTTTTCTTTTTATTTTTTTTTTTGTACATAAGGTAATGCTTTAACTACAAAGGGGTTTCGTAATTTACTCTCTTTGTTTCTGTTCTGAAATTGAATTTGACTTTCATTAAGGCGTTGAGGTGATAATCTATTTAGGAATATGAAGAAAAAAACAAAAATGTGTCATATATATAGATATGAACTGAATTAGATATGGAATGGAAGGGTCCCGGATGCAGCCCTTCATACAGATAAGATTCCCTTTTTTTTTTTTTTTCTGCCTTAACCATCTAAAATTGTGTGGTCACCACTTTCTGCTGTTAGTGAACGCGGCCGTGGGGCCATTGCCATTCACTCAATAAAAGTTCTAGAGAGGTGATAAGGCACCCCACAAATAATAGTTTAGGTTACACAAAATTATAAATTTATTTTATTAATTTATAATAAAATACTTGAAAATAAAGTAAAAGTGAAAAAAAGA